AATTATTATTGGTAAATGATACATTATCACTGTAGATACCCGGCACACTACCAAACACAACCAACATTATCTTTCTATCTTATGAAACCATCTTGAGATCTATGGTGGTTCTAGGACTCACAAGTTAAAACAAATTAAATATTGTGTAAGAATTGGTTCAGTATAACAGTTTTACTTCTAAAACATAGATCATTACATTAATTGTACTAGAAATTATTCAAATTCACATCAGTTCTCATGTTTCTCTTCTCCTAGCATGCTTCCCAAAGTAGTGAAGAGGCGAGTGCACGCCCTGAAAAGGCTACAGGTGCAGTGTGCCAACATAGAGGCTAAATTCTACGAGGAGGTCCATGAGCTAGAGAGGAAGTATGCTGCCCTCTATCAGCCGCTGTTCGAGAAGGTACAGTTTCATTTTCTTATAACAACTTTTTCTTTACTTAGCTTGACTGCAATGCTACACACATAGACGCTTCTTTGCTCATTTTATTTTGATGCAAACAAATAAAAGACAAACAAGACAAAATACTTCTAAATAAATCACACACACATGTTGATCCCTGCACTGATGGGTGGTGAAGTGTGCCTCTCTGGTCCCATGTGAGGTTGGTGAGGACGCATCCTTGGTGCTAAATTGAAAACTGCCACAACGAGTAGTCAACTGTTCTTTTGTCAGTCAAGGCTATTTCCAGAGCTAGTGACAAGAACTCAGCCATTCTTAGTTACACTGAAGACTGGCAGCTGTAGTCCTGCTGCACCTGTCTGTGCTGTGTGTATGCTGTATATATGTCAGTCTGCGTGTGTGTGTGTGTGTGTGTGTGTCAGTATCTCTCTCAAATGGTGTTGATTTCAGTGTGCTAGCTGAAAATAATCTGGCTTGAATGCTTTTTCACACTAATGTTCTCGAGTATTTGTCTAAAATGATCAACTTTGTCGTAATGTGTGCGTTTGTGTTTGGGTCACAGAGACGAGATATTGTTACAGGAACAGTGGAACCCACAGACGAAGAGTGTGAGTGGCACAGTGACAGAGAGGAAGAGGAGGAGCTAGCTGTAAGTACTTCTTTAATTTGTTTGTCTTTAGAGCCCAAACACTTAGCCAGATCCTACTTGTTCTGGTTTTCCCCAGGAAACAATCTGCCTGATTACTTAAATAAAATATGAAGACACAAATCTTTTCTCTCATTGGCGGATGAAGGAATGAGCGCAAGACGTATTCGGGAAATCATTTTCAACTTCAGTAAAGTAAAAAAGGAAAACGGTCATTTGGACAAACGGGAAACAACATGGTTGTTGGGAAATGTGCTTTTAATGAGAATCAGGACTAACAAACAGTGACGACTGTATGACTGACGAGTCTCGCTGTGATCTTGTGTGTATCTGACTTCTTTGTAAACACAAGATCTGTTCCTTGTAAAAGATCTTAATCTCAATGAGACTTGCAAACTTAAACCAGATTCATTAAGATGTTTGTTTTGACAGTTGTTTAAACAGTGGATTTTGATGAGTGCTCTGCTGCATTGCCTGTAGGAGGAAGTAAAGGAAAAAGCTGCTATTGAGGATGCAAAGAAAGAGGAAGCCACACCAGAGGAAGACCCAAAAGGCATCCCTGAGTTCTGGCTCACCATATTCAAGAGTGTAGACATGCTCAGTGACATGTTACAGGTACATTTAAATGCTTGATCTCTCATTTCCTATCCACATTTCACCCTGTTTCTGAACGGTATCATGTTATTCAGATCTGACTGTTTGTTTACCACCAGGAACACGATGAGCCCATCCTAAAGCACCTGAAAGATATTCAAGTGAAGTTTTCTGAGCCAGGGCAGCCAATGGTCAGTATTATCATGTTGTAAATAATGAATTGATAAACTAAGTAGAGTTTAAATGCTCAGTGAAGTTATCTATCTCTCTCGGTGTTTCCCCTCACAGAGTTTCGCATTAGAGTTCCACTTCGAGCCCAATGGTTACTTCAACAATGCAGTCCTCACTAAAGTCTACAAGATGAAGTCAGAGCCTGATGCCTCAGATCCTTTCTCATTCGAGGGGCCAGAGATCATTGACTGTGAAGGGTAAGAGCCAGAGCACACAAACGTGTTTGTTAAACTGTGCTTTTGACACATATGATGATGAGGTTTGAGGAAAGATATAGATTGTGTGGTTTGTAAAGCATATCTCTTCACTCTTTCTATATTAAGCTCTCTTAACTTTACAACCCACATATCAGCCTCCTCTTGGCACTTCGTCCAGATTTTACCTTTTTTGTGGCCTTGTTTTCTGCTGCCTCTCACTGTTTTGCACACCTCCTCCACTCTAGCTGTCAGATAGACTGGCACAAGGGGAAGGATGTGACGGTGAAAACCATTAAGAAGAAGCAGAAGCATAAAGGCCGTGGCACTGTCCGCACTGTTACCAAGCAGGTCCCCAACGACTCTTTCTTCAACTTCTTTAACCCTGTCAAAGGTGAGTGCGCACACAAAATGTAGTGGATTTCTCTGGGTGTTTTTAAATGTAACATTCACAGCAATTACTCACTTCTTACAACAACTTATGTATGTTGTTTCAATTCGCTTTGTTCTCTTAGCTCTGTGCACACATTCACAAACCTTTTGAGCAAACCTAGAATCAGTGAAAGCTCTGAGAGAACCACACACGTGCACTTGTGTGGCAACATGTTCACATGCATGTTTTGTGGTTTCACCATTGGTGCACTGAGCTGAATTCAACAGCAGGTGGCGCCAGAGTCTAAACTGTCAGATTTGGCCTCTGCTGTGTGTACTAGTCAATATGTCTGTTGCTCACTGATGTTAGACTTTGAAGCTGTGCCCACTGGACCATAAAACTTTTCCATCAACTTTGGTTTGACCATTATTTTCCAGCCTCGAGACATTTAGTTTTTCAGGTGCTAAACAATCAGTTAATGACTGACATTTAACATCTAAATAAATAATTATAAATGTCTGACCAACAGTTTGAGGCAAAGTTGACCACTTAAAAAACAACAGGTTATCTATCTACCTATCTATCTATTGTTCTAAAATACAACTATAATTGTAACCACCACCATGAAAATGACTCCTCTTCATGTCTTACTTGTGTTAGTTTGCATTTACCTTCATTAATGTGTGAAGTCAGATAATGATTCTACTCTGTTAGTGTGTTAAGGTGTCATTGCACAGGAAGAATTCTTTTTAAAAATACATACAAAACTAGTGTTTCATTGGAAAATTGCATGTAGTAATACAAATGGACATCTCTGCAGTTACTGACAGCAACACAGGCCCTTCAGTACAAGATTTTGCACTTACTCAGGAAAATCAGTGTCAATTTACCCAAACATTTATAGCTTCAGCTATTGTTGATGTAAAAATGGTCATGATTAACTCAAAGAATTGGTAAAACAATCAACTGTACATAAAGCAATGTTTACATTCCTCTCACCAGGCAGGTTTTCATTTGTTTTCACTGGCAGTCACCATACTCAGAAACCACAAGTCCAATTGGACCTGCTTTTTCAATCTATGCTGCTGATTTAGTGGACTCCAGTGTTACGATTACATAATGAGACTCATACTGTAGAGTACACAACCACCAGAAGTGTAACAAAGTGGTTTCCCCTATTATAGTATTGTTGAAAGAAGAGGAAGGGTGGGATGATGTCACCTTTAGTCACTTTTTGTGGATGATGTGACCTCACCCTGCAAAGACACTGACGATAAACATTGTTTCCTTAAATGGGATTTCAGAATTTGGTTGAATTACAGGTAATCCCAGAGCTGCCCCAATGAAAGCCATTAAAATGAATGCTGTGTTTAGAGTCACATTTTGTTTTACTTTTAAGGGCCTTCTGTAGTCATTGTGTGTTGTGGTGTTTATTGCTTAGATTATATATGTCCTTTCCTTTCCCTTACAGCTTCACCAGATGGAGAAATGGTGAGTAAAATGTAGCTTATTCTTCATAAAATCATCACCCATTTTATTGTGTCAATATTTCAGATTTGTAGCTGTGTAAAAATGGTCGAGTTGTGTTCTTGTTTTATAGGATGAAGACTCTGAGTTCACCCTAGCCACAGACTTTGAGATTGGTCATTTCTTCCGTGAGAGAATAGTTCCCAGAGCAGTGCTGTATTTCACTGGAGAGGCCCTGGAAGATGACGAGAGTGTGCGTGATTTTCCTCTATCACACACACACACACTGTTAAGACACAAGATATGATGTTTGCAGACTTGAGGACATATAAGCTAAACTTGTCATCATTCTACCACATGTGGGTGTATTCACTCTCTACTTTTTTCATTTTTTTTCCTATATAGTTTGAAGAGGAGGAGCTGGAAGAGGGAGATGAAGAGGTTAGTAATACCACTTTGAATCATAATCACAGTGAATTCGATCTGATATACCAGACAGCTGGTTATCACTGTTTACACGGGACGCAACTTTATCACCACACACATCACTGCTGAACTGTATAATGATAATCATTCTTTAAATACCATAAAGTCATCTTGTCTTTGTGTCTCAGGAGCAAGATGAGGATGGTGATGATGACGATGATGAGGGGGACTTTGACCCCAAGGTCAGTATTAATAATTAATTCCTTTTTCAGGTTGGATTGATTGTGCACCTGTTCATGATGTGTTTGCAATAATGTTAATCTTTTCCTATGAGCCTTTATTGGTGCAGTGATGGCGGTATCAGGTAGCTCAGTGAGCTGAACATTTAACCAGCCCCCCTGGAACAGTACAGAGATTTTGGTGTTGTGGTCAGAAAAGGCTTCTTACAAACTATGAGGAAACAACAGACGCAGAGAAATACATGTGCATCATGGCACAGCTGAAAGACATTGAATAGAAATGTTAACACTCTGTGAGGCACTTATGTTGGAATGGAATTGGCCTCCATATTATCCATATACATATACATTATACTTTCATACAACAAAACGTAGTTTGTTGAGAGTTATTTCGCAGCGTGACAAAATGTTTGCGTGGATGTCTGGGTCAATAAATGTAACACAAAACTACAAACTAGCACAAAAATGAAAATTAACAACTTATAAACCATCATGTTCTGAACCGACGCATTACAAAATATAACAGAAAATAACATTATCATTTTAGACCATAAAGAAATGTCTCATTTTGTAACATGAAAAGTAGGCCATGGCTTGATGGCTAATATAGGCCGTTGCTAGGCTAGAGAAGGCTACAAACAGGAGCTGGCTCTGTCCAGAGAGTAGCACTTAATGTTAATGTTAATGAGTAGATAAGCAGTTATGCCGGTGAGATGGAGCCAGTGCGCTGCTGACAGAGATAAACAGAACAAAGTTTTGGTGAGCAGGCATATGGAGAACAGAGATGCTCAAAGAAAAAGATCGGCATAGGAAGACCAACCGTTGTTCCTCACTTAAATTGTCGATGTGCGATCTTTTCTCCATTTAAGAGGTGTCTTTTTCTCACTTACTCTGTCAGACCATTGGCCTCATTCGCTAAAAACTACTACGTAATGATAGTCAGTGAAAGAGACAATTGTTATGTAGTTTAGCTGGGCTGATAGTTTGGTTGAGATGATCTGTTATGAGCTGTCCCAGTCTGATGGTGAGTAAGTCCATAATGTGGCCTGTAAGCAGTTTTATCAGGACTCATTAACAATGCTGCCTTGTCTGTGAATGAGTTTCTTTAGTATGTTGTTGTGTTGAGTGAGTTTCTCTCTCATGGTAACTGTTGAGTTATTCATTTTGCTCCAGGAATTCACTCACCAACTTCAGCAATGTTTCACTGTGCTCACTCATTTTGTGAATGTGACGATTAAACTTGTGCATATTGTTGTCTCTCCCTCCCCTCCATTACAGGCATAATCAATCATTCTCACCCCATGCATTTCTAGGTAAGGGAGAAATAAGGATGGCGTCCCACATACATTATACACTTTGGTTTATTATTCTGGCTGCTTCTCTCTTTCACTACATCCTTGATTCTCCCGGTAGTCCGAGTTGTTTATGCCCTCCGACTCACATCTTGGGTAGATACAGCGTCTGTCCTGTCCTTCCTCTTATCTTCTATTTGTTTTTCCTCCTGTAGTCCCATCCCAGGTTTCTAACATTGTTCCCTTTGCTGTAACAAACCAGGTTAAAAAAAACTACTTTCTTCTCTAGCATCTGCTTTCTTGTTAGCCTCTTCTAGTTGCTAGTCAGTGGCTTCATTTGCTGTCTCCCTGTATTCTGATCTGGTTTCTCTCTCTGTCTGCTCCCTACAGAAAGAACAGCCCCAGCCTGCTGAATGCAAACAGCAGTAACCGTGGTGATCAGGGGAGGTGGAGACCTGCTGTCCGTCAAATCAGTTCTTAGCCAATCAGCAAGTCCTCCTACTCTTGCAGGCTCTGCCCTTTTATGAACTCTCATCTGAACGCAATAGAACGCAAACCAAACTGCGTTTTTACTATGTGCATGACTTCTTTTTCTTTTGTCTTGCGCCAATCTCACCCCTTTTTTATTTGGCTTTATTCGAACTCAAAGCGAGAAGTGACTTCACTCTAATTAAAATACCATGGCATCACATAGGGACAGTCTTCTTTTTTTGGTAAGGTGGAGTAGGTTACTACTGCCAAGAACTTCACAACATCATCATATGGAAACAAAAAAAAAACAGATAGGAAAGGAATGGTTCCCAATTTTAGTTTTCATGGAAATAAATCAGTTACTCAGGGTTTTTTAATGCCAACAAGAGAAGTGCAAGTTTACCAGGAAACTGCTGAACAAGTTTGACTTAATCTTTCACTGGGGTTGCTGCAGTGTTTTTTTTTTTTTTTTTTTTTTTTTTTTTGTTTGTTTTTGTTATGGTGTTTTTTAAGAGACATACAATGTATCATTTTGAATTTAATTTACTTTTTTAAATGTTCATTGTCATGTCATTGGACTATTTATTCTGGTGTCATGCAGCTGTTTTTTGAAGTGGTGTATTTTGGGTACTCTTAAGGCCCAGCCACAGTAATAGGCTCATTCTCATTGGCTCAAACCTCATTTGGGCTTAGCAGGTCAGCGAAACGTGAATACTGCCAAGTCATGTTTTTGTTTTGTTTTTAATCAAAAGTAATCTTAAACATTGAAGAATTGTGTTCTGCATCAATACTGCTCACTTCTGCCCCGTTGTATTGGGCTTAACAAGCATTTAATCTGAGCACTTGAGTGGGGACTAATTAAGATCATGTGACTGGCACATGTTCATACTTGTGTCATATATATTGCTCTTCCTTTTTAGCCCCATCCCCCCTGAAATGCCCTTTAAACTTGTATTAGAGGATAATAAGAACAATTTAAACAAACGTAGACATTCTGTCCACATTGCTTCATTTCAGCTTGTTGAAGGCCAAGCATCCAGTCTGGTGAATATTTCCCTGAAAGTTGACACATTTAAGCAGACACAATGGCTAACCTGCAACCTGTTGTGGTTGTTTCTAAGATATCTCTTCTGGTATGTAACTAGTTCTTAACAAATGTCATTTAAAGTCAGTGATGGGACTGTGTGTGTGGGGTGTTTGGATCAAATGTAAATTCTATTGCCAACAAGCCAAAATGAAAGACAAAACACACCATCCTCTTTTATTAAATTGTTTGCCAATTGTCATTAACACAGTGTAATCTAATTCTGCGTTTAAAGTTGTTTAAGAATATATAAATATTTCTGTTATTGTCTAATGATTCAGTAGAATGTCTGTGGAAAACAAATAGAAGCGGTTGCCAATGTATTTTATATACTGCACTTGGATTTTGGCAGTTTGGTTGGACACCTTTGCCTGCTGACTGGTCAGAGATAGCAGTCACAGCGACAATAATACCCACCCCCCTCTTTTTAAAAAGAACGATTGTAGATCTTGTTGGACAGATCGCTGAGCCACGGTTGACATATTCAAATCTACCACATTGGACCGTGTGCTAGCAATGGCCTTAACTGGTTCTTATTCACAATTTGTTACTTGCGCAATATTTCTTTTCAATTTGTACAGTTAGTTAAAATATTCTATTAAAGTTGTGCGACATGGAAATGTGTTTTCGTGTGTCCTCTGTCCTTAGGTTATTAACCAGTTTACCAAGGAGAAACTACGGTGGCCTGAAATGTCCCATCTACAGCCAGTGTTTGATTTGTCCTTTGAGCCAGTGTAGAAACATCGAGGGCGGCCTGCAGCACCTGTAGATAAAAACTGCTCATTCTTATGTAATGAAAACAAAATTTCTATATTTTGGTGATTATACACTAAAGAAAAGATGCCTGTGAATATTCCGTCTCTCCCAATAGAGCCTCCTAAATGATACACACTGGACCTGAGAGAGGTAGAGGATTGAGAAAGATTTTTTATATTCAAGCAAATGTTGATGACATAGGCCTTTTTTACAGCGCACATTTTCACTTGAAAGCTCAGGTGTCATTAATAACATTAACATTAACTGTGTCTTTGTTGTATTTTCCAATAAAATGTCCCAGTGAAGTAGCAGGACCCTGAAACTGAAGCAGCTAAATTGAATCCAGCCATCATTTTATTATTTACACCTGTTAAATATCAAAATATCTTGAGTGAAAACGCCTTATAGACTGTGGCACTTCGTCACCAGCTGCACCAGTCTGTCACTGCCTAATAGTCACCAGTAACATACTGGTCTTACTGGCCAGCATGCAACATCTCTCTTCCTGTTGAGTGATCGTGTGCTCGGATAACTTTCCCCCGGCTGAATGTGCATGCTGTTGACAGCACAATGTGACTGGACGCTGAATGGCCACACTGACTTGACTGTTGGGCATCAGGTGACAATTTGCAAATGATTAGCAAGATCTTAGAGCAAAGCATTCAGTTGCAGCCTCAGTTTGACGGCCTTAGAACGCAGGAACTGACCCTTTCCTTCCTCGCCAACACCATGGTGACTTTGTAACATTATGGCGGTATCCAGGCTGGAGGAATTTGCTGACAGTCTGCCCAATATCAGGCAAGGCAACCAGAATGTCTGGAATTCTGTCTTGCAGATAGGAAAAGCATGTACACTCCTCTGAGAGACCCTTGTAATGCTGAGTGCTCTGAAGTTTCTGGAGGAGGATGGTGACATTGTGTCCTAGCAACCCAGGTTGTCTGCCAAGTGCTGAAAGACAGGTGCATTCTTATCCTGTCAACTCGTCCAGCAACACTTGTGTGTTTTAGCTTCCTTGTGGAAACAGAGGTGACAACATGTGACTGTGAGAAAACAGAAGTCTAGATTAAATCAAGTTCTTGAAAAGGGCTAGGTCATTGTCAACCCTGAATCCATAATTCATGATTCTTTATATTAATAAAATGTAGAAAATTCTGATCCTTCACTCCTCCACAGCAGACAGACGACAAACTGTCGTTTCTCTCCAGTTTCTTTTTGTATTTTTGGGGATTTTGTTCTACAGAACTGGGAACAATACACTATTCATCCTGGGGCTGCTGTGTGGGGGTTAGAGGATTGCTTCACTGTAACAACGAGTCCAATTGTGTCTCAACTTATTTCTGTGCTTTCTGCAACACGGCCAGCGAAATGGAACTGCGCCATGCTGTTGGACTGATACACTTGGCTGCTTACAGTTTGTACTGGAAATTAATATCTACAGTGTCTGTCAACCAAATTAACTCTGTACCTCTAGTATGCCAACGTAACATAGGTTAGTTTGGTAGATAAGCGGTACGACACAATACTCTTTTGAAAGAATAAATTGTAATTGTATATCAGACAAACTAGTGGAATGAGGAAATGTCATAAATAACAAAAAATGGTGGCTAAAGAATACATTAATTTCAGTGCTGCAACATTAAAGATATGTATACATTATTGCATCAGTAATTATGATCCAATAATATAAATTATTCTGAAATGGGCGTTTGGGCATAATGAGTTCTTTTGTTTCTGGTACTTCAAGTATATTTTGTTTCAAATGTTTTGTACTACTTTGAATGCTACTTGTAACGAGTGCAAGTTAAATATTTAAGCATTATCTCCACCACTGTAAATAATTATAGGTGAATCCATACGCATTCAGAAAAGTAGGACAGTAAAGAATGTGCTTTTCTGCCACCTGAAGTTCCAATAGCTTCTGTCTGTATTGTGAGAAATATTTTTGTATTTAGACATTTAGACTACAGGTAAACCCAGGTGTAGCACCAGCTGCAGTATTGGAGGATTAGATCCAGAGAATTAGAGGGATCTCTGAAACTGAGCAGGCTGTTCATAAAACAAACGTCAAGTAAAATCATTTGCTCCTGCTGAAAGACGGGAGAATGAAAAAAGAGAAACTACAGTGAGACTTTCTCCTCTGTGCTCCCTGCACACTACTCCACAGCTGTCTAATGTTTTGTCAAGTGTGTACGTGCATGGATGGATGGATGGACAGAGAATGTTTAAGGTGTATCAGCAGCACATGTAGAAGAAATGAGTTTGGTGGACTCAAAGGGAGATGATCTGTGAGCTGTGCACATGACCAGAGCAGCAGAACAAAGGAAAGTATTCAGACTGCCGGGATTAACCCGAACTGACGCCTTCTGCCATCGTCTCATCCTCATCCAGCAGAAGTGTAAAGGGTGCAGTCTTCTTCCGACCTTCCTCCCAGCTGCAGCTGCACCCACTGTCCCACTCTTGGCCCCAAGGTGCTTCTGGCAGAGCCTCTACGTGTACGTGAGCACACACGAGCGTCCGTGAATGAGTTTGCCTGTGTGGGGTCTTTTGTATCAGCATCTCCCAGTCGGAAGTGATGTGAGCCAGATTTCAGTTCCAGAGAAAGAAGCTTTATGCTGTTGATGCAGAGTTGGTGTGCAGAGCTGAATGACTTTGAGTGTGATAAAGAGCCCATTACCTCTTAGATCTGATAATGTTACTGATGGCGTTTGCACAAGAAATCACTGATTTGCACACATTTTGATCCTTCTATCGGTTTATCAGCTGGTGCATGAAGCACAAAACTGAAGTTATTGTCTCCTCTGTTTTTTTTAAACTACACTAGCAGCGAGTATGGATGGCAATGTCAGTCGGTCCCCCACTTTGACTAAAATATCTCAAGAAATGCTGAATAAATTGCCATCAGATGTTGCACATACATTGATAGTTCCCAGAGGATGAGTCTCAATGACATTAGCCTGCAAAAAATACATAATTCCTGCAGCACTCTATTATTCTGTGTAGTGCTAAATCAGAGGTCAGTAAATGAATGGGTGATAAACAGGCAAAGTTCAGCTGTCACCTTAACCTCTCCTGACTGCACCTGCCATACATAAACAAGACCTGCCACACACTGCAGAGGGCTAATGGGAAACTGTTCAGGAAGGGCAGCGTCCTTGGGAAAAAGCAGTGCGCAATCTCCTCCAGGAGAGAGACCAAACAAGGCTGGGACTTACGCCTAGCGTGGGTGCCACAATATCTTTTCCATCGTCTCAGGCTAACGCTCTTTCAAATCCCTCCAATATTTCCAGTGATTAAAATATGGAGGGATTTTGACAGCTGTTGGCCAAAACACAATCCATGTATTATTTATTTTTTCTGTTTTTTGATAGGCTTATTTCATGCTGGAGCACGTCCTGTCAGTCTGACTGGCATGTCTTTGGACGGTGCGAGATAATTATGAGGAGAATGTGTAAACTCTTTGTATAAGGAGTCAAACCCGAGCTGGCCACAAAGTCACTAAAGCTACATTTGAGGAAACATTAGATGGAGCTGTTCAAGTCATTCAAAAGGCACCCAGTGCCAAATTGATTTTGCATTAAGAAAGAATTTAGTGTACCAAAGTTATCAGAAAGTTCTCCACAGTCTACTACACTAAATCAACCAGGCACTCTTCCTTTATCTTAATCTATGTGTGCTTAACACGAATGAGTATAAACAATGGCCACTATAAGCGAGCTAATCTCATTGGCATTATCACCAGGTACTTTTCTGCCTGGTATGTGTGGGAAAGCAAGCCTCACGCCCAATCACGGCATAGCAACATGGTAGCACACCTCTGTCAGGATTTATCAATGAACAGGGAACTAGGTGTGGCATGTTTAACCTGAATCACGCTCCTTGACTTCTGCACACAAATAAAGCTGTCAGTCAGGCCTGGGCTACATGAACAGGTATTAGGTTACATAAAAGTGAGCACAGGAAAAAAGGCTGGTTTAAATATATGTAAATATTGCATACTGGACCATGCTCGGCCTTGCTTCAAGATAAAAGACTGACGGCTGTGACTGAAATTGAAAAAGTAAATCTCTTGTCTCTTATGCTGGGCTGCCCACACATTGCGTCACATATTTTTGGATAAGTCCTAAAATCAGGAGACAGAGGTGTTTTAAGGTAATAATGAATTAATCTTATGACTTGATTTTGATTGATGGCTTCCAGTGAAATTCAGACCTGTTGAAGCACTGCTGCATAAAGGAGCAAACATTCAGGAGAATTTCCTGACTAATTAATCATCTTTTCACTGTCCCTTTTGGCTTAATGTGGATTATCTCACAATGAGGCCTTGTTTTGGTGTTCTACTACTAAGTCCACATTGTTTCTCCACAAAACGATAGATAAACCATCGACAGAGGAAAACTTTTAGTCATGGAATTGGACAGCGCAGGCCTAAAAGGTTTGACCATCAAGCCTTAAAGTCCAGTCCATGGCCCTGCTCCTACCACAGATTAGTTTAGGTTCTATGGAAAGACTCTAGGTTTATCATATAAACCAGTTTGAAGCTATGCAGACAGCAAAGTGAATGCTACATTCCTGGCAGGGAGAAGGATTGCAGATCTGCATACCTGCCATTCTTCACAGAGTCAAGTTGGCAAAGATTGAGGCGCCGGACTTTACGTGCGAGTCGCTGGAGCGCTTTCATTACTCTCACCTGAGTCTCTGCACATGGCTCATTTGGTGTGAGAAGGAAGTGTGGTTATCGCAGGCTGCATGGTTCACACACCTTTGTGTTGAAGTATGTGTTAATGACAGTGGGACACAACAGTTAGAGTTGTGTTTCATATGCAATGGCAATTATGAGATAGTTTCCTTAGCCTCAACAGCATTC